TTGCATTGCACAACATCAGAAAGATCAGGCCCTTCCTAACAGAGCATGCTGCACAACTTCTTGTCCAGGCCCTTGTCATTTCTAGGCTGGACTACTGCAATACTTTTCTGGCTGGACTTCTATCATGCACAGTCAACCCTTTACAAATGATTCAGAATGCAGCGGCACGAATGGACTTTAACGAGCCCAAAAGAGCCCACGTCACCCCTCTCTTTATCTCCCTGCACTGGCTGCCAGTTACGGCTCGCATCAAGTTCAAGACACTGATGCTTGCATATAGAACAGCCTCAGGCTCATCACCCGCCTACTTCCACTCACTCTTACGAATCTACATCCCCTCCAGAAGTCTGAGATCCACTAGTGAGCGACGCCTCGTGGTACCATCACAAAGAGGCACAAAATCACTTTCCAGAACATTTTCGTTTACCGTTCCTGGCTGGTGGAATGGAACTCTTTCTCTGTCTAGCTTGTACTTATTTGAACAATGCTTGAAACTTGGTATGACAAGCACTTCCTGTGTCTATTTGCCTCTTTAGGATGAATCGCTTGATGTATTCCCCAATTGTAAGTCGCTTTGGATAAAAGTGTCTGCTAAATGAATAAATGTAAACGTAAATGTAAGATGTTTAAGAGCGCTCACTGAGGGTTCTCAGAGAAAAACGAGAAAAGACATCATGGATATTTTGTACCATTAACTGTACAAAATATGATAAATTCAATATGTTTTTCCATTACTTAATCTCATCAAATAATTTAACCAATTTCAACTTTAATTTTTAAGATTCAACAAGACAACATTTTTAACAGTGAGTTAAAATGACTTGTACAGCCAAAATGATTATAGTTTCTAAGTTGAATTAGTGGATATTTTTACAGCATTTAAATTTTTTGTTCTGTATTATCATAGCAAAATGAATAATTAAAAAAGTGACAAAATATGAGATTATTTGTTAATTATTTATTGAGCACACAAGTGAATACCCAAATATTTTTTATAAGCAAACATAGTATACATAATATAATAGAACCAAGTTTTGTAATAATACTTTAAGCTTTACATACATACACAGATAAAGTGACTATTCCATGTTGTTGGATGTAAATCTTCAAATCATATATACATTCCTTTACATACTTTATATTGTTTATTCACAATAAACATGCTTTGAGACCCACAACTCTGATTGGGCTGCAGTGACACAAATCAGTCACTAAGTGGTGCTTGATCCTACTGGATCCTTCATAGTGGCTAAAGCGAATGAGGTGATGTGGCTTTATCATTAGTGGATTGGGACAAAACAATACTTTTGCATGCAAATATGAATAAAAGATACACTGACTACTGTTCAACTTAAATGATCGTGTTTGATCAGATATAATGTGGCAGATATCCGCCAGAACAAAGAGCCATCAGTTTGTGAACAGTAGTTCTGGCAATGAATCCAACATGAACATACGAAACAGCCCTTCCATGGCCATCCTTTTCACTTCAGTGCTGTCATAACTGAGTTCTGCAGGCGTTGTTCATCATATCTGACCACTTCTTCACTTTTAAGGAACTGCGAAGGATCCGCTAAAGGTGAGAGTACTCAGGGCCAGCTTGTCATAGACAGACTTCAACACATGAGCCGGCAGCACTGAAGAACAGCCTGTGAGATCGCAAACATCTAAGACGCTTCATGCCTTCTCATAGCACCATGGTGGGTATGTGATGCACCAGCGAGGCCGGGTGAGGAACCTGTGCCAGTTGAGGAGGTGGAGGAGGGGGCGAGTGGGTCTGCAGCCCAACTACAGACCCTGTGTTGGCCGGCCGGTGCCTGGCACTCTTCTGGTGCGCCCGCAGCCCTGCCAACTGGGAGTACGCGCTCTGGCAGACGTGGCACTTGTAGGGGCGCTCGCCCGTGTGGAGGCGCACGTGGTTACGGAGGGTGGAGGACTGGCTGAAGCGGCGGTTGCAGAAACGGCAGACGAAGGGCTTGTCCAGAGTGTGTATGCGCATGTGGGAGCGCAGGTTACTGCGGGAGTTGAAGCCGCGGTGGCAGATGACGCAGCGCATGCGGCTGGCGGTGGAAAGCGAGGTAGTGGAGGAGGTGTCGCACAGGTGGAAATCATCTGTGGGGAGAAGAGAGCACTCGGTCAGCGGACTTCAAACACATGCTAATGCAGCTTTAACTAAGGCTATTTTAGAACTATGATAAAGATCAGCCTGAAGCCCACCCAAAGCCCTGAAGTGACTGAATTACTCACCAATTTTTTTATTCTTCTGTTGTTCATCCTCTATGCCAGGGACTCCAGGGATACCCAGGAAAGTGCTGAGGGAATTTCCATACCACACAAGCAGTTCTTGATCTGGAGGTATTGTCTGTTAATTAAAAAAATATATAAATGTAAATACATTAATATTTCAAAAATGTTTACATTTTAAACTAAAATCAAAGATTATTTACTCAAGTAAATAGATAATAAATAATAGATATATAATACCAGATATTAAATAGAAATAATAGATAGATTAACTACCTAAATTATAAATGTATATCTATCTATCTATATATTTGAAAGTGCAAGTACTTCGACATATGACAATTCTAAACATAAAAAATATATAAATATCAAACTATGAAAAAAGGTAGGCTATATGAAACGAACCTCTACTGCTGTGTAAAATATACTGCTTCCGATCTGCACGACCTCCAGGTTCTGTTCTTGCTCGTTGCGCGCGCATTTGATGTAAGTCATCCAGCTGCGATGATCCTCTTGGCTGGCATCGATGAAATAGCGCACCGTGCCATCTTCATTAAAAACCTGAGAACAACAAAAACGCTTGCCATGAATCTCTGGTTTGGCATGATAATTTGGGAGGATAAACTCCAAAAAATGAGCCCGTGCATGCGACACCTGTTGAACGTTGCTTACCTCCCACATGAGATTGTTGTTCTTGAAGAGATCCACATGCTCGGGTGAAATGACCCTGCCTGTGAAGGGACCCATCTCGGTGCCAGCTTTTATCCAGGTCTTGGAGAAGATGCCAAGTCCTTCTCCAGGGATTGAGCTCTGCGCAATGATGACTTCACTTGGCAGCACTAAACTGGAGAGTTTCTGGACCTCTGGAGATAGAAAGCAGCAAATAAAGTATAAAGTTAATTTGGAGCATTTAGTTTAAATATCTAATAAAAACCAGGAAACAAATACATTTAAACAAAAACACTTGAATTGCAATAACGCAACCTGTTTGCAAGCGCATTTAAAGCAAAAGAAAAAAATTAGTTACAGTGCATAAAATCTTTTATATTGTAAAACTATTATATTTTATTCTAGGCCAATATAAAGCAACGCGCAATGTGTCCATCAGTAAGACTTTAAATGCGGCTTTCAGGCGAGACACAAATAAATGTCAGACGCGTCTTTACGTTTAAGAATTCAGCCATTTTCTACGCTTTGTGACGAGGCTATATATTCATAGGCAAGAAATAGCTTATTCCGTATTCATTATCCTTTCAGAAACTTTGTAGCACTAAATGTGCGCTGAAAGAAATTAGAACTTTCTTTAAACGGCCCTGGAATTTCTGACAAAACGCAGAAAAGGAGATTAGCTGCTTGACATGGTATGAATAGCGATAGAATCAGCTTTCACGGCATATTACCAGCGGGACGGAAAACTTTAAATGCGCCTGAGAGGAGAGAAAAGTGTCAAAGCGGGGGTGTGGAGACTGTCCCGAGCTGATGAATGACGGGCTTTTCTCTGTCTAACGTCCTGGCTTCACTGCCAACTTTCTCAGGTCAAGCACGACGTTACCTCATGATTTTAATAGCCTTATTTAAATAGGTTTCCCTGGACTGTAGGCTGTGCAAAGCTTAAATCCCGATTTTATGATAGCCTATAGCCTAATGCGTTTAGAATAATTATGTTTTATTCGCATATATTCAGCTTAGAAACCATGTGCTAATTATTTATTTACTTTTAAAGGGTTTACCTTTTTTAAAAAGTAATTTCTAATCTTTCTACTGAAGTCCGTCTCGCGCAACCCAAATTGTCTTTCGGCCCCACTAACACATTAAGCATTAACTGTCAACAGTAAAATCATTATTAGCTTGCAATATGTAAATAATTTATTGAAAAGTAGTAATACAAATGACAGTAGGCTACTTATGTTTTGTCAATATACGACCCCCGGAACTTGAGCAACTGTTGCCATTTCCTCAGGTGAAGGCGCAAGCGGCTATTTGCGCAATCGGACTTTTATCTAACTTTTGAGGTTATTAAAATGTTTAAAAATGCCGTTGAGATGTATACTGTAAAAAAGAACAATTACTTTTAAGACCCCCAATTCGCATCATGCATGCCAGACTTAAATCATGCATGTATTTTTTACCTGTACAGTCTCTGAATAAGCTTATTGTACTGCATTATTTTAATCCATTTCCCCCCTTTTTAAATCATCATATAAGCCACTAAATTAAGAAACTGTCTTTTACATTATTTTAAAATAGACTTTTACATATATTGTACTTTTTTCTCTTTAATGTGCCTATTGCAAGCACTTTTAATTATAATTACTTGTATTTTAAATATGCAATACACACAAAACTTGCCTTGCCTCTACAGTAAGCAATTTCACATCAGATCTAATTTGCAATAAGCATAAATCAATGCTATAGCAAACACATATATTCAAAACTTTCCCATTCCACCCGTAATCAACGAATGGCGTGAAATCTTGCGGACTCACCTCCGGAGAAAGACTGCGCCAGGACCTCGGCGGTGAAGGCAGTTTTGGGGCTGACAGTGCTGGTCTTCTCCTCGAACAGGTGTTCGCCCAGGACGTTCCTCCAGCGGCCGTACAGGAAACTGTGCAGGATGTCTGATGTGATGATGTCGGACAGGGCCAGAGTCTGCTGCTTAAATCCAGCCTTCAGAACCAGAGCATCTGCAGGCAACACTGAACCCATGATGAAACCTTAACTAATATCCCTGCGATAAAACCCGACTGTATCCCCTTGCTGTTAAATTTAAAGCGAATATCTATGTTGTAAAAGGCGAATGTAATCGATGAATCAGTCTGAGGCCAATGCAATGCCAATGTGCTCTCTTCTTGCTGTCGAGAGAATGTTTCGCCTTACCAAGGTCCCGGTGGGCTTTATATGCGTCAGATCTGACCCACGGTAATTAGTTATTAATGACCCTCCCCTTGTGTTCTTTAGACTTGTTCAACCAGAGGGAAAAAAAACGCCACACTCTTTATTGAGAGGCTACTCCTGACGGGATGGGGGAAGAAGGGGGAGCGATGTGTGTGTTGATGTTCAGGATTCAACAACCGCGTTTTGGCTAAAATAACAAGCCCCATCTAAGCACTGCGAGCTCCGCTCCAGCTGTTTGCTCCTGAGAGAAGAACAGGCGCACTTCTGGCATGGAAAACCTAAAAGCAAACTTGACTCTCAGCGTGAAGACTCCGTACAAGACCCAGGTTAAAATTGGTTAGCTCATTTATCTCGTTTGTCTACGAGAAACTGACAATATCGTTATATCAGTAAGTGCGACTTAACGTCTGAAATAAGACAAAAATAAGGCATACGAATAGCTATTTTAATGTAGAAATTGTGTCTTCAATTTTGAGCGATATATTTTCTTCCTGAGAGGAACCGAGTTAAAAAAAAATGTCCAAGTGTTTTCTTCATTTTGAGCCACAGCATTCATCATTAGATCAATAATTATATTCATTCATGATTCATTTATTAAAAATGTCGGACAATTATTTATATGAAATTATTGCGTAATGTCCTATCTAATGCAACATGTGGCTGAACTAGCACAAGCGCAAACACTAAATGTATGCTCTTTTTGATTAATGTTCAATATACAGTAATCATATCGGAATTAAATTCGCATAAACAATCTGAATAGGTTTTAATGATGTGCTTTGGAGTACGAAAATATGCAAAGCCGTCTGGGTCAAGTATATCTTTTATTCAATCTTTTTCGGGCCGAAGTAATTTAATATTCATGGATGTTAATTTAAAGTCTTTTAGTATTGTGTGAGGCGTATATGGGCTTTTTTTTCTGAATAGCCCCTTGCCTTTCCCCCTCTTTCTCTGCGTAATGTCCTATCTAATGCAACATGTGGCTGAACTAGCACAAGCGCAAACACTAAATGTATGCTCTTTTTGATTAATGTTCAATATACAGTAATCATATCGGAATTAAATTCGCATAAACAATCTGAATAGGTTTTAATGATGTGCTTTGGAGTACGAAAATATGCAAAGCCGTCTGGGTCAAGTATATCTTTTATTCAATCTTTTTCGGGCCGAAGTAATTTAATATTCATGGATGTTAATTTAAAGTCTTTTAGTATTGTGTGAGGCGTATATGGGCTTTTTTTTTCTGAATAGCCCCTTGCCTTTCCCCCTCTTTCTCCAGGGTTGATGGACTGAGACAAAATGGGCAGTTTCCCCCCTTTCCAACAGGGAGGACATCTTTATTCCTTCCCCGGCTTGCGGGTTTCCTATTCAGCTCTCTTCAAAATAATGCCGGCTGAATGAAAAGTGCTGCAAATCAATCTTTCATGGTGTTTTTGAGGGCAATTTGACATCCATGCACCCTTCTTTTCTTTGAGATAAGTACAAGGGGATTGCCCGAAAAAAATCTGGACAAGGATGGGGTCTGGCGAGTGGGGAACTTCCAAAGGGAGATGCGAGGAGAGCGCTGAGGAGAATATAGGTGAGTGATAGGGCAAGAAAAAAGATTAGGACTCAACAGCTGCTTTTGGGGGGCTACCCTCCCTCCTGTCTTTTCTTTTTCTTCAGGGGTTTCACCCTCCCTGCTGAATTGGATTTGCACAAGTACAGATTGATTTGTTTTTATCGCACTATTAGTGGTTTCATAAATAAGGGCAAACTTAGCCAGCATGGGGTGAGAGATGCAGTCATGGTTTTCTCATTATAAAAAGACTGTGGGCTTTTGCAATTAATATCGTGATGGAACTGACAGATCATACCTAGAGCATTTAATAAATATTATCATCGTTTGGTATAACGTGCAGTGACATTGGCATGCGACTCGAACTTTCTCATGCATGTACTGATTATTGATTTGGAGGATTTGACTGTAGAGATCAACATGCATTCCTAAAGGACAGTCGATAAGGTCAGTTTCCTCTAAGTGATTTTAAACTTATAAAGTAAAGAAAAAAAACTATTCGTCAGTGTGGTAGAAAAATCTTATGTAACTGACTAATGTAAGCTGCGTATCAACTGGCGACAGAGCATATACAGCATGCGATGACAATTAACAGAGGGCAAATCAATATTCTATGAAATAATCAGATGCAAAGGACGGCGTGGAAATAATTGTGAGTTCAATAACAGGGTGATAAAGAAACTTGCTGCTGCGCGTAATGCCTTTTGCATTCATGGCCTTCGTCTGTCCCGCGCGTCTCGGTTGCACAAAGCTGCAAGCTGTTCCGCGGTGCTTTTATCACAACAGAAAGGAGACAAAAATCCCACAATAATGGAGATTTGCAAATGTTTTTCTATTGATTTGACTCAATGAACACTGGATTTTTAGGGCAAGGAATAAGAGAGGACTTGGGCTGGAAAGCTGTATTGGGAGCGTGGAGGAGAGCAATGGTTTTTATATGGCTGGATAAAATTTAATTAGCGTAGTACAGCCCTTGAAGGACAATAGAGGACTCAATATGTACCCAATCTGAATCTCATTGGGGATCCAGACCGCAGAAAGTCAAAAGAATTGGAGAAAGAAAAGCAAGCTTTGAGAAAGGAAAGGAGCGAGGCAGACGGCAGGTGACTGGCACGCGTAAAAACAAGAGGGACACTTTTGGCACACGGCTGATTATTTGAAAGAGAGAGAAGACAAAACAAAAATGGAGGTTTCTTCAGGTTTGGCCCACTTAGACCAGCTGAGACTAGGGAGTGAATAGAGCACAGAGACCAGAGGGGGACTGGAAAGCAAACAGAAAACGCGAACAAGCCGAGTCACATCACACAAGTGCTTATGGGAATGTGCCCAAATGGTGGAAGAAAACCGTGGCCAAGAGCAGATATCACGCGAGTATTATGTATATTCATCGTCTGTGTTCGTACAGTGCAAATCAAAGCTCTTATTGAGCGATGGATATTGCAGGAGCACGTGCGCAATTTCCATGGAGAGATTTAAGGGAGCAAAGCATCTGGCTCGCTGCCGCTAATGTGGATTGACACATGGATGAAGAGGAAAATGTTTGTGTTTTATCAAAGACATTATTAAACGCCTGTTTTGAGTCCAGAGCTGTGGCGTACTAATTATGCTGCTGGTTTTTTGGTAATCGAAATGGCTTAATATTTCAAATAGCGACAGTATAATGATTTCATTTGTCACTAAAACTAATACAAAGAAAATACAAGCACTACCTCTTTCATAGTCCCATAAATAGAGTATCGACAAATGTCTGTGTGACTGCACAAGCACTGGCATGCAACGAAGAAGTGTTTTAACGCGTCTCCTCAAATTGCATTTGGAATTGAGAGAGTGCGCTGCCAATATGATTTTTCCTTTCAGTTTGAGTTGACATTATGTTATAGACTAGCTGAAACTTGCGTCAGGTTTTATTATCACCCAGTTAATCGTAAGCTGTTTATAATTTGGAATGAACTAGACACACATGACGTTAATGACAACATTAAACAAACATCGACACAATTTAAATGTGTAATACACATGTTTCAAATGAATAAACATTAAAAACTAAACATTAATACAGTTTGTTAAAATAGTTAAACAAAAATTTCCAAGAGAGGAAATGAAATCATGCTGATTAAAAGAGTTCCACAGGTGACAGGCAGATGGCAGAAATGCTACTTTTATTATTATTTTTTTTAATTTGTGAAATTACAATATTACTCTTATTATTAATTATTACAGTGCATTTTCAGGCGAGCAGAAGAAACCTGAAGCTCTTCTTTGTGTCTTAAGAATCCTTGCTCTAAAGATTACTTTGTAGTTGCAAGCACATTTTTTTATTTTTAAAATAATGTACATGTACATACTACATACTTATTATAGCCATTACAATAACTGGGTCATAGCTAACTAACCTTGAACCTACTCCTAAATCCTTAACCGAAGCAGTTACCTTATACTACATTATTTTCTTGGGTAAGTACACTGTAGGTACACTGTAAAAAAAACAATTTTATTATTTTACAGAGAATAGCCTACATTTAAGACAAATCCAGGTGAAATAAATTCTTAAATTTTTCACAGAGACACATGCCAATTGAAAACCAATAAGGCTGATGTAATGGCTTTTCACTAATTAATACTAAAAGCCTATAGGCATCTTCCAAATATCTCCTTGATATTTTTATTCATGACACAGTGTACCTGTATAGCTTCATTGATCAGCCAATCAGTATGCTCTGAATGCTCAGACAGTGATTTGCCGTTAATGATGGCAGTTTCTTTCAGCTTTAGTAATTGTATTATTTGTTGACTCATCTCTAGGAGTTCAATACAAGATTGATTATTCTATAAAGTGTCTGTGAACTGCAGAATGAAGTGTTGTATGGGAGTATTATCTTTTCTCTAAAGTAGATTACAAAATATAAACAATCAATGAAGTGTGGATTCTTCCGAGTAGATTTTAAAAGCTTATCAGTATTGGGAATAAAGAACGAAATGATCTGAAAAGGACCAGAATTTGCTTACAGCTGCTGACAGAGTCGGTGGGAGATAGAGACAGGTTTCCCGGTGGGTGGAGACCACAATATGCACCAGCAGCGGATTTGGCAAATCAGTGTGACACAGTTTAGTGAGAACGATCCCAGTAGCAACCAGCAAAGCCCTTTTTTTTTGGTTATAGAGCAACAAACCTGTTGAAAATGCCAGAAGATTTGTTGACAATCAGCTTACTGTTCGATTTTAATTTATACCATTAAGTATGATTTTTATCGTGATTAATTTGATTATCTGTCTTTTAATTAACTATACCTGTAGCTCTGCTGTTTTTAAGGTCTGAATAATAAAATATTTCAAATGGAATTATGAGACTCAAGAACAACATTCTTACAC